GCCCCCCTCCCCCTGTTATTTTGCAACACTACATGGCACGTGAATCTCGACGTCAACGTCCCCAACACATGACCTTGACACTTCTTCTACTTCTTCCACACGTGACCCAACAGGACCGGAAGCGGAAGTTGCCGTCTGCTGACCATGGACAGTCTGGATGTGCTCTACGTCATCGTGGCGTTCTGCGTGATGTTCGCGGTCGTCTCTGCTTACGTCATCTACCAGCATGTTCAGGAGGAGAAACTGGACTACTACAAGTACAGGTGAGTATGTTGGTCACATTTGTCTGGACTACTACAAGTACAGGTGAGTATGTACTAAGTAACTGGAAACTGTTGGGGTCAGGGTTAAGGTTACAGTTTCGTCACTTTTGTCCGGACTATAACAAGTACAAACGAGTACTAAGTAACTGGAAACTTTTGGGGTCAGGGTTAGTTAGAGTTACAGTTTGGTCACTTTTGTCCGGACTATTACAAGTACAAACGAGTACTAAGTAACTGGAAACTGTTGTGGTCAGGGTTAGGGTTACAGTTTGGTCACTTTCGTCTATGTTTACAAAAAAATCTTTCTTATTTATTGATTTGCCAATGAGTCTCTCTCACAGACTCTTGTGGTTAGGGTTAGGTCCTATAGTTTGGTCACTTTTGTCTGGACTGTTACTTGTACATGTGAGTGCTGCAGTGACTGGAAACAGTTGTGGTCAGGGTTAAGGTTGGTCACTTTTGTCTGGACTGTTACTTGTACATGTGAGTGCTGCAGTGACTGGAAACAGTTGTAGTCAGGGTTAAGGTTGGTCACTTTTGTTTGCCCATGATAAAAAAGACTAACCCAGCAATATTTCTTAATTTATTGATTTGCCAGTGAGTGTCACAGATAGATTGTTGTGGTTAGGGTTAGGGTTACACTTTGGTCACTTTGGTCTGTCCACGTTAAAAGAAAAGCAACATTTCTTAAGTGATTGATTTGCCAATGAGTGTCACACAGATATTTGTGGTTAGGATTAGGTCCTATGGTTTGGCCACTTTTTTCTGGGCTTTTACAAGTACAAGTGGAAACAGTTAGTTGTGGTTAGGGTTAGGGTTATGGTTACACTTTGGTCACTTTTGTCTGGTGGTGAGATGGTGAAATGGTATGAGTTTAACGCCCCTATCAACACTATTAGGTTATTTAAGAGGCGGGACCTCCTAGTTTAACGTTTGTCTCCGATAGGACCGAGCCAAGTGGGAAGTTCGTGTAAAGTGTCTTTCCCAGGGACACAACGTCGGACCGAGCTGAGGCTCGAACCCCCGAACCTGCAATGTCACGATTACGAGTCCGTTAGCCTAACCACTAGGCCAACGACGCCACTCATTTTTGTCTATCCGCGTAAAAAAACAACAACAAGCCAAAACAAAACAATAATTATTCTTTCTTAAGTTATTGATGCGTATTACAAGTGAGTCTCACACACAGACTCTTG